ATACAATAAAGCAAATCACAAAGATGAAATATTTTATAAAAAGCTCCCTTTTAATTGAATTTATAAAGTTTTAAATTCTAATATTTGTATTCTTTATTATTATTTACTTAAGGATTTAAAAAAGGGGATGCGAAAATTTTATAAACTTTTCGTCATTTGTTTTAACACTCAATTTATGATACTGTTTATGGGTCCTATTTAATCTTAAGAAATTTAATAATAAGATATTATTATTTATTTATGAGTTAATTAGTAGACTATGAATGGAAAAAACAATGTGAAGGGATCATTTGGGATTACATTTACAATCCACCAAGAAAAATAAGAACAAAATACTTAATATCTCAGACAAATGAAAAGGAAATTATGTACACTTTAGATGGATGTAGTTTGAAAATGTAACAATTCATTTTTCTAATCTTAGAGATAGAATTATTGGCCCATCAAAAGAGCTTGATTTGATGAACAATTTAGAATAAATAAAACATTTGTAATGGATAGGATAATATGGATAAAATAACGTAAAAATTGGTAAATGGATAATAAGATGGAATGGTGAAACGTTAAAAGATGTTGGAGGATAATACTCTAATGATGGAAAAAAATAAGGAAGGTGGAAAGAGTTATTTTCAAATTATTGGAAGTAAAATTTTTTGTATTATTTAATTAGTAAAGCTTAAGTTTATGAAGAGGGAGATTATGTTGACGATTAAAGGTAAGGAACTTGGAAGTATGTTTAAGAAGATAGATAGATGTATTTGATATATGATAATTATTTTAGTGGAGGAGGATAATATAATTAGCTTGGAGAAAAGGATGGAAAATGGATTCAGTCGAGCTCAGGATATTGGGATTTCTCCTAAGTCATTGATTGTGGCTTTTATAAAAATGGAAAAAAAATTGGCAAATGGGATATCTTGTATAGGAAGAAAGGGAAGGAATAGTTTTAATATCGGTAAAATGTATAAATAACATTATATAGAGGTGGGGGATAATATGATGAACAAGGCTCTAAGAAAATTGGAAAATGGATTGAATTAAGTGATGGATTTTATGATTTATCTTAAATCAGTTATAAGGGTGAATATTATAATGGTAAAAAAGTAGGGAAATGGCAAATTTTTTTTGGGGAAAATCAAATGTAACATTATTTATTAATTATTTTTTCTCAAGTGGTGGTGGATCATATGCAGAAGTCGATTAAATTAAGATTGGAAAATGGATTGAATAGAGCGATGGTTTTTATATTGATTCTTAAATAATTTATGATGGTGAATACAAAAATGGTATGAAAATTGGTATGTGGAATATCTCTTTAAAGGATAAGAAATCAGGATAAACTTAATAAATGTAAATATTTTTTTTAATTCTTTCTATGTAGTGGAGGTGGATAGTATGATTAAAATGGATCAATAAAAATTGGAAAATGGATTGAGTAAAGTGATGGATTTTATGATCTGTCTCAAGTCATTTAAAAAGGTGAATATAAAAACGGTAAAAAAGTTGGCAGATGGGATATTTTATTCAGAGAGGACTTTTCGGAAGAATTCCTATTGATGTATCAAATTTAAACAAACCTTATAGTGGAGGCGGATGGTATGATGAAGCAGGTTCCTTTAAATCTGGCAGATGGATTGAATTAAGTGATGGATTTAAGATTTGGTCTTAAGTAACTTTTGATGGTGAATATAAAAATGGTAAAAAGGTGGGCAAATGGGGTACTTTTTATAGGGATGTGAGTTCAAAATAAAATGAATTAATGTAAAATTTATATAAACTAAAACCTTAGTGGTGGAGGATCATATGACGAAGTAAGCTCGCTTAAAGTTGGAAATTGGATTGAATTAAGCGATGGATTTGCATGGAATTCTTAATACACTTATAAAGGTGCTTATAAAAATGGGAAAAAAATAGGCAAATGGGATATTCATTTCGATTTTGGAGGAAATCATTAAATGTAAAATGATGTTTTTTAAATTTAACAAAATATATAGAGCGGGTGGATTGTATGACGAAGTTGGCAATGGAGTTAAGATTGGAAAATGGATAGAGTTAAGTGATGAGTTTAGGGATGATTCAATAATTACTTATAAGGGGAACTATAAAAATGGTACCAAAGCAGGTAAATGGGAGATTTTCTTTTTGGAAAATTAAATGTAAGTCATATTCTTATATATTTTACAATTTAGTGGTGGTGGATAATATGGTGAAGAAGGAAATGGTATTAAGATTGGAAAATGGATTGAATAAAGTAATAGATTTGTTAGTTGGTCATAAATTACGTATAGTGGTGAATACAAAAACGGGAAAAAAATAGGAAGATGGGATATTTTTACTAAAGATAGGAATACAAAAAAGAATGAATTGATGTAAATAAAATGAAATTTTTAGTGGTGGTGGATCATATGATTAAAATAATTAAATAAAGATTGGAAAGTGGATTGAATTGAGTGATGGGTTTTAATGCGATTCTTAAGTGATTCATAAGGGTGAATATAAATAAGGTGAAAAAATAGATAGATGGGATATATTATTTAGAGGGGAATATCAGTCAGAATTTAGATAGATGTAAATTTTGAATATATTTAATTTATAGTGGAGGTGGAACTTATAATAATGGAATTAAGGTTGGGAGATGGATTGAGTTAAGTGATGAGTTTTACGAGTATGCTTAAATCACATATAATGGTGAATATAAAAATAATAAAAAAATACTTAGATGGGATATTTGTTTCAGAGAAAAGGAAAATGATAAATTTGAATAAATGTAAATTTTAAAAGGGCTATTTTAGTGGTGGTGGATCGTATGATGATTCAGTGGATGAATGCTCAGTTAAAATTGGTAGTTGGATTGAATTGAGTGATAATTTTGGAGACGGGTCAGGATAATCAAAAATCACTTTGAATGGTTAATATAAAAATGGCTCAAAAGTTGGTAAATGGATTTAAATGGATTTATATTGGAATTAGAATTGTGGTGAAATTGAATATGATATTTGAATAATATGAAAAAAGCATATTTTTAATATTAATGGAATTTATAGCTCTAATTAAGTGTCTAAATTTATATTAGTGATATTTGATAAAAATATTCGTATTCTTTTTAGTATTTTATCAATTAATTGTAAATTAAATTAAAATGATGCAAAAGTTAATCTTTACATTAAATAGTATTTTTAGATTGGAATATTTTTATTAATATTACTTTAAAAGTAAATGAGGGATTTTAATAAATTTCAAACTGAATACATAATGTGATTTTTTGATTAATTTTTATTATTAATAATACCCAGAAGAGCCTTAAAGCATTTATTATTATCATCTGATAAATGGAGACCAGATTAATTGATTATCAGTATGTTATTAATTGATTATATTAAAAAATAATAATTTTGGAAGCCTGTAATAAGGTATTGATTTTAAAAGAAAGTCAGCAAAAAGAAAAATTCATAGCCAATCTAGTTGTGAATAAAAAGCTATAAAACCAACAAACCTGAGTATTAAAATAGACTTTTTGAATCCTATTCGCATAATGAATTCATCGTTTTTGTGAAAAGTACTTCAATTAGAAGTTCATCAAATTCAACTCATCATCCTAAAACTAATAAATCCATAAAATATTTGTATAAACCTATTGTATTAGTTAAAATAGTTTAGTTGAAAGTATAATCACATTATATTAAAGATAAATAAATTAATAAAATTTTAGTTGTTTATCATTATTTCTTCAAATTTCTTAAAAATAATGCTATTATAGAGAAAAACAATATATTAAAATCATAAAAATCTAATAAATACTAATATATGATTATTTAATTGTAAATTTATTAAATAATAATATATTTGACACTTTTATAATAATCATCAAAATAGTATTCCTTATCATGAATGAAAAATTAGTAAACTAATTTGATGATATATCATAATTCTTTAACAAACTATACTTTAACTTTATCAACCATTTAATCGACTGAAGTAGTAACTAAATAATTTGACTTGGATGTCAGGCATCTATTTGAAATCTCTAATTGATGATTTTTTGAATGAATAAAGTTTTGTCAGGAAAGTGTAATAAAATTAAGATAATTTTTTTTTTTTATCTTTGTTTTCATCATGAGTAAAGAATACATGTTTCATTTTAAGTACATTAATATGATCTAATTCTTACAGTATCTATGATTTCCTATTTTTATATCTAATATCTTGTATAATTTTTTATTGCTCCAATTTCTCCTGTCTCAATTTATTTCGCCTTTTAATTAAATTGGTTTACTTCATGTACAACTCCAAATGATTCACTTCCAATAACTTTTAGATTTATCTATGTAAAATTAGAATAATTATATGATTCATGGAATGTTGGCATTGATACTGATATAGTGTTGTTTTTTATTGGAGAATTGTTTATCCGCCAATTTTTTTATTGTAGATTGTTGTATTTATTTTAATTGATTCTCAAAATTATTAATATAGATGGATGGAGTAGTTTCATCCTTATTTTTCTAAAGGATTATTTCACAAATTAATTCATTTTTAGATGAGCTTTCCAATTAAATACTTCATGCAATGTTTTTATTTTTTTATCCACAACTTTATATTCCTTTACTACTCTTCTATTCATGTCTTCCTACTTTTATTGATTTAGAAAACCCACTTAATGTTTCACTTTTTGATTCAGTATCTTCTGAAACATCCTCTTTTAACGTAATTTTTAATTATATATAAATTAATCAACAGATTATTATTATATTATTATGTCATTATTATTCCCTTATAAAGAAGCTGAAGATTTTAATATGAATATACTGTCTACTTAATCTAAGAGAATTAAGTTAGGAAAATATTATATCAAAATGTTGTATAATCATATTAGATTTTAAATATATTGAATGAATTATGAATATTGAATATCAAATCAATGTGGTTATAGAATTTAAATAAATAACAACTATTATTTTGGTAATTTATTAAGATGAACTCTTATTATAAAAAATGAAACTATTTAAGTAATACAAGTCCTTTAAATAATCACAATAATAGTATATAACATTACTTAGACCCTCTGTTTTTTTCAGCTTTTCTTTGATTAATGTTTATATATATTAACATAATGAAATTGAAAATGATTAACTTATTTTGAGATTAATATTCTCATAAATCAAATCAATGATTCATATATCATGTACAATATAAATTAAAAAATATAATCCAAATACTCTACTTTCTAAATTATTAATATATAAATAGATTTGTACTATGTGACTTTTAATGAATATAATGAGTAATAATCTGATTGCTATTTTCTTTTAAAATTATTAACTAATAATTATGTATTATCTTTATATACTCATAAATTTATTAACAGAATTTCACATGGCTCACCTTCCAAATCATTATTAGAAAAGAAAATAATTCTTTTATGAAATTTTGTAATCATAGAAATTCAACAAAATTATTCATTAAAAAAATAAATTAAATTTATGGATCAAATAAATGGTGCAGCTTAGTTGTTTAGAAAAAAATATACTATAATAATGGATGAAATTTATGGTGAAGGTTGTTTTGGTTAAATATATTCTTGTAAAAAAATTGATGATTCTGATGATAATATATATTGTGCTAAAGTTATTCCAATTAATGTAGATAAAGAGAGAAGTAAAGAAAATGAAATAATTATAAATAATTCAATAGCTAAATTAAAGTTAAATCAAGATTAGTAAATGAATTTAGTTAAAATATACGATATTTCTTTTGATTCCAATTCTTTGTATATAATAATGGAAAGATGTGATGAAGATTTATCATTTGAGTTTTATAAGCTTATAGAGGAAAATAGTTGGTATACAGAAGAAGAAGTATATGATTTGATACAATAAATTATAAATGGAATAAAAGAAATGCATTCAAAAAAAATCATCCATCAAAATATAAAACCAGAGAATATTTTAATTAAATATGAAAATAAAGGAGAAATCAATGAGAGAAAGATATATAAAGTAGTTTTGTACTCATATTTTAGATTACAGACTATGAAATTGGTATTTTGATTTCTAAACTTACTAAAAAATAAGACCTGATTAGAACAGGATCTCCAAATTATACAGCACCTCAAGTATTTGAAGATGATGTAATATATTCTGAATAAAGTGATATATTTTCATTCGGTGTTCTATTTTATTAAATTTGCTATTAAGCTAAATTTCCTTATGATTGTAGTTCAATGTAAAGTAGATATTAAAGTTTATAATATCTAAAAAATAATCCTTTTAAAGCTCCACCTCTTAATTATAATAATGGAGAATAATTGCAAAATCTTATAGAAAATATGATTGTTTATAATGAAAATCAAAGAATTTCTTATTCAACTCTCTTTACTCATGCTATTGTGAAAAGTAAATGTTAGGAAGATACTGTTGTTATTAGAAATGAAAGTAGAAATTTTAGAAGTTAAAGATTATTTGATAAATCAATTAATTTTGAAAGCAAGAAAAAAACCTAAATTTTATTGACATTAGAAAGATTGAAATTATTGTTAGAGTAATTTCTTATCAAATTCTAAATTTGTTAGTAATTAATTTAATAAATCTAAGATAGTGATGAATTTTTATTTTTTAAATTAAATATTTATTTAATAGGAAATTATTAATTGTTATATGCACTTGCTTTAATTTACATAAGACCTTAAGAATTACATCCAAGTATTTTAAAATATAATGATTAATTAATGCTTATCGAGAAATTAAGTGAAGCATAAAAAGGAATAAAAATATATCATCCAATTACTAAAATTTATTAAGATTTTTATGATTCAATTCAATCACAATATCATACATTTGTATATTAATTTAAAGAATTTTATATTAATATTAAAAGGAGAAAAGAACTTCCTAATGAATTAGAGGAGTTTACTTAATAAGCAGTCTCTAGAAGAATCGAATTAACTATATTATTATAAAATATTAAAAATTTTTAAATAACTTATCTAAGTAGAATCCCTAACACCCTATAATATTTATTAGATTAGGTAATTAAATTTGAAAGTTTATCCCCAATTAGTCTTAATCAAAAGAATGTAGATCAATAGTCATAGCCATCCTAATAAATTGGATAAATATGATAATTAATTAATTTTGCCAATTAATAATTTTTATGTTATCAAATTTAAAATATTCTTATTTTATTAATCTTGTTTATTATTTTTTAATGATGTATTAATTTATTCTATAGTATCCCATTTTTTATATTACTTCAATCAGATAATTATATATTATAAATCCTATTATTTTTTTTGGATTATAGGATTTTTATATTGTTTAATAAAATCATAATATTTATATTTATTTAAAATTCATAATTATAAGAGAAATGAAAATATCAAATTTAAATAATTATTCTCATAATTGCCTAATTATAAAAGGAATCATCCCATTTTAAATGCCTAACAACAAAGTACACTAGTTAATTTAATAAATCAATTATTTTAATCTCTTTTATTTATAAAATGATTTGCTTGAAAATAATAAATAAAAANATTAAAGTTTATAATATCTAAAAAATAATTCTTTTAAAGCTCCACCTCTTAATTATAGTAGAGGAGAATAACTGCAAAATCTTTTAGAGAGTATGATAGTTTATAATGAAAAACAAAGAATTTCATTTGCTGATCTCTTTACTCATATTGTAGTAAAAAGTAAAGGTTTGGATGATACTGTAGTAATGAATAGTGAATATATTTATAGTTAAAGTAGAAATTTTGGAAGTTCAAAACTATTTGATAAATCTATTCATTTAGAGAAAAAGAAAAAAACTTCCATTTTATTGTTGTTATAAAAATTATAATTATTGTTAGAGTCATTTCTTGATAAATTTAAAATTTGTCAGTAATTAATAGAATAAATTGAAGATAATAATGAATTTTTATTTTTTAAATTGAATATTTATTTAATAGGAAATTATTAATTGTTATATGCACTTGCTTTAATTTACATAAGACCTTAAGAATTACATCCAAGTATTTTAAAATATAATGATTAATTAATGCTTATCGAGAAATTAAGTGAAGCATAAAAAGGAATAAAAATATATCATCCAATTACTAAAATTTATTAAGATTTTTATGATTCAATTCAATCACAATATCATACATTTGTATATTAATTTAAAGAATTTTATATTAATATTAAAAGGAGAAAAGAACTTCCTAATGAATTAGAGGAGTTTACTTAATAAGCAGTCTCTAGAAGAATCGAATTAACTATATTATTATAAAATATTAAAAATTTTTAAATAACTTATCTAAGTAGAATCCCTAACACCCTATAATATTTATTAGATTAGGTAATTAAATTTGAAAGTTTATCCCCAATTAGTCTTAATCAAAAGAATGTAGATCAATAGTCATAGCCATCCTAATAAATTGGATAAATATGATAATTAATTAATTTTGCCAATTAATAATTTTTATGTTATCAAATTTAAAATATTCTTATTTTATTAATCTTGTTTATTATTTTTTAATGATGTATTAATTTATTCTATAGTATCCCATTTTTTATATTACTTCAATCAGATAATTATATATTATAAATCCTATTATTTTTTTTGGATTATAGGATTTTTATATTGTTTAATAAAATCATAATATTTATATTTATTTAAAATTCATAATTATAAGAGAAATGAAAATATCAAATTTAAATAATTATTCTCATAATTGCCTAATTATAAAAGGAATCATCCCATTTTAAATGCCTAACAACAAAGTACACTAGTTAATTTAATAAATCAATTATTTTAATCTCTTATTTATAAAATGATTTGCTTGAAAATAATAAATAAAATAAGCTATGGAAATTAGATGCTATAATAAATAACATTAAGAAAATTACCAATTTTCTCAAATAAATTAATGAGCATGACTATAATAAAAGTGACTATTCTATTCAAAATTATATTGAAACATTCCAATCTCTTATTAATAAGATAAAAAGAGAATATTATATCTTTTTTTTTAATTTCTTGTTCAACTTATTGCTATTGATGAAAATTTGAAATAATGTGGATCAAATTTACTAAATTTATTAATATAAATGGAAGTTGATCAAAAATATCAATTTTTGAAAAGATTAAGATTCGATATACTTCATTGCAGGGTGCCAATTTATTTAAATGTAATTTAAGTAGATCTGAATTTGATAATGTAGATATAAGCTTGGTTAATTTAAATGGAGCATTATTAATTAATTGCCAATGGAGAACATCAAAACACGTGATTTGAATAAATTGGATGGTCTTAGTGGAACTGTTCAATCTTTATGCTTCTAGCTCGATTGTACTACATTAGCATCAGGTGATAAATCCATTCGGTAATGGGATTTTTAGACAGGATAAACAAAAGCAAAATTCGAAGGTTATAATGGAAGAGTTCTACAGTTAGTTTTCTCCTGATGGGAATATACTAGCATCAGGAAGTGATGATAAGTCTATCCGTATATGATATATTAAGACAGGATAATAAATTCGTCCTTTTTATAATAATTATGAAGAAATTCTAGCATTATTCAAAATCCCCTATTTATATAAAATTCTCTTTTGGAGGTTAATATTTGTAGTTTAGACTTATTTGTCACCAAGAATATTTCTATTCTTCTTATATCTCAATAGGCAAAAAAGAGAATTTATTAGTTAATCAGATATTGATTTAACAAAATTATTTTAACAAAAAGGAGGTTTCAAATTGGAAAGTTCATTAGAATTAAATTAAAGATAATGTATATTGCGATTAAGAAATATAAAATTCTAATTATTTTTCTGAATCCTAGATTGAAAAATCCCTAATTTAATTTAATCTTTGGATAATTGTCAATTTTACGGCATTTTTTCTGTACTACAAAAATTTTTGGACACTCTTTTATTGAGAAAAATTTCTTTTAAAAATTCAATATCTGTATATAGAATAAAAAATAATTGTTATCATATTTGCTCTAAAAATGGTGAAAGGTATGATTTTTGTAAAAACTGTTAATTTGTCATAAAATAAAGTTTAAATAAAAAATTATCTAATACTTTATATTAAAAAATTAGATACTTATTTGATTACACTAAAGCAAAAAGGTTTAATTAATTAATATCCCATCAAATTTTTACTTCTATATGAATTAAAGAATTTAACAATGAACAAGTTAATATAAGAAGAATTAAGATATTCACAGATAAATCTAAGATTCCATTATATTTGAAATTATACAATTTAATAATTTTATCTAATAAAAAACCAAATAAAAAGGATAACAGATAAACAAATTGAATTTAATTTCTGAAAAAAAAAATAATAATTCATCCATAAGTATATGTATAGTAATTTATCCAAGACCAGGTTTGTAATTGAATAAAAAATCTAATTATTTATTATTCTGATATTCTAAATTAGATTCTACTATAATTCGAAAGAGAGAGCTTTTTAAAAAACTAGTAATTATACTATCAATGCCAAAGAATAAATTCTGTTTAGAATTAATCTATAAAATACCTTTGCCAGAAATTTAACTTAAACTAAAGCAACTAGAAGTATTTTTCTGTTTAAGTAAAATATCGAACATAAGATTTAACTAATCATCATTTTTTTTAATATAAAAATAAATAGTAATTCATATTTTCATATTATTCTTAATTTGTAAATTAATTTTTATTTTATAAATAAAATTTCCAGAACTAAAATATTTGTATCATTATAAAAATATTCATATTTATTCTTTTTTTAATCATATATCTTTTTCGATTTATAGCTTTAATAAATTAAAATAATTTTATGATGACCTATTAAAATTGTAAATAATACAATAGCATTTAATTTTATTCTTAATAATAAAATATTGAACAATAGTTCTATTATCTAAAGAATCAATTGATTATTGATTGATTCAAATATTAGTATCTATTATCTTTAACTTAATACTACCTAAATTTTGTTTTAAAAATAGTAAAGTAATAAATATTAAATAATATATCAAAGCTATTTAATTAAATAATAATATATTTATTTTATTAATTTAATTACAAAGTCAATTCCAATATATAGATGTATAAAAAGATTCTTCTAATATCTATTCAGACACAAGTTATAATGAAGAAAATATTTATCAATAGAATGAAATAATGATATTTAAAACATCTATGTATATATATAAATTTATTTATCAAATAGGTGAGTCATAACTTAAATATTGCTTGATTGGTAAGTGGAATTCAAACTTATTGATGAAAGATAAAATATTTTATATAATAAAATAAATAGTATTAGATGTATTTCAAAAATTTAGAATAATTTAGTCAATAATAATATTGAAGAAATCTTATTAAAAAAATCAAATCCAACTAATGAATCTTTAATTTTAATTGATTTATATACTCAGTAAATACTATTTCCTGATCATTATTTTGCTTTAAACATATATATTTAACAAGCTTCGATAATATTCTTTTTTATCTTTTAAAATATAGTTCATTTAATTAATATAATAAACGGCCTTATCAATCTAAGTAATTGCTTTGATTCAAAATAAAATTTGATGAAAGAAAGTGGTATTGTTAAATGGTATCTGATTAAGACTTTCAATAATAAGTTTTATAAGAAAAATAAGTAAACAATATAATCGTTTCTATAATTAAACTAAATTTTATACTACTAAATTTTTATATTTTTAAGGTATTCTTGTCCTTGGTTATAGCTTTTGGATTAAAAACCAAATATAAAATTTTGATATTAGAAGTTCTTACATATTTCAGAGTGATTATAAAAATAATATATTTTTTTGAGCTTATTAAATAATCTCTTAAATTAGATTAACTATATTTCATCGATAAAAAAAATTCTGTAAAGATTAAAAACAGTAAAATCCTTAGACTATTAAATTTAAATAGAAATCTATAAATATAAACTAGAGTAAAATTATTTATGAAAAATGGTTATTTATCAAATTGTATTTTATTATTTTTATTAAATCCTTAAATAATTTTATCTCTTATATATTAAAAACATTTGAGAAATTATTATATCTAATTATAATGAAACAATTTCTAAAGATTATTACTTTTAACGAGTATTGCTGATGAGAAAATTCATAAGTGCTGATTTCAAATCAAAACTACAATAGATTTATTTTGTTAAAGTAATTCAAATTCATTACTCTTATATACTATAGTTACAGATTACAAGCTAATTAGATTGTAGTTTTCTTCTCTTAGAATTGATCCATATCACTCTGCTTAATTCCTTATTTATCTATTTTTCTTCAAAATATTTATACAAATATTATTTCTTTTTAGTTCTACTATTCATAAAAACAAAAACCCAAATTAAATGAGTAAAATCATTAATAAATAGAAATATTGGTAATCAAAGTCATCCTATTTTTAAGTAACGTTAAGATACAATAGAAAAAATTTATTAATATCTTTTAATTTATTGGAAATGTTAACAATGTTTTATAATTTTTTATTGTCATAATGTATATAAAACCTTGAAATTATTTATTCTGTTGAAATAATTAAATAAAGAAAAATATCAAATGCAAAGAATAGAGACTACTACATTTTCAAATTTGTTAATTTCACAAATTAGAAATAGTAGTAGTAGATTTAAATGTATAAACTAAAGTAGATAATAAATATTATTGTACAATGTGTTTGGTTGACAAATTTGATGATAATAATAATAATATGACAATGATTAATTAAGCCAATGAAGTGATAAAAAACATGACTATTTAATCAGAAAGAATTTTTAAGGAAGAATAGGTTCTTAGACTATCATATTTACAATAATTATAATCATCAATAAAGTCATTCAAAGTTTTTATTAAGACGGAACTTACAAAATTACTTTAATAAATTGATTTATATATTGAATAGATCGAAAAAGAAGTTGAATCATAAGAAACTAAATTAAAAAAAAAGAACATATATTAGTATTTCTATAAATTTTATAATTTGAAATTGGGATAAAGTCTAATTTAACAATATGATCAGAAACTATATTATTTTTTGAATTAAATAGCTGTGATTTTTAAGATAAAATAATTTAAATTAATATAATTTGATAAAAAATAGAAAACGCGATTCGTTGTAATTCTAGTCATGGGCCTAAATTTGGATATGCTCATGATATAAGTATATATTCTGATTTTAAAAG